ATTATGATGTCAAGCTCAATAGGAACAACCTTCATGCGCACACCTACAAGCTGACCGGAGTCGACCTCAGAAACATCACAGAGGTGGAAGCCAAGATTAAGGAATCAGACTTGGACTACTCACTCCCTACCCTCTTCTTGGCTGAGTGTGTCCTGGTGTATATGAACACCAGCAAGTCTTCACAGCTCTTACAGTGGATTGCAGAAAAGTTTAAGTCTGCTTTCTTTATAAATTATGAAATGGTAAAGTGAATTTTCTATGTTCTTTTTTTAGCTTGAGAAACAGTTACTGAGGGATTTTAAGTCATTGGTTATAATATCTATAAATAACTGGAGCCTGACATTGCAGACTCAATTGCTGTAATGTAAATCTACCACCATATAGTGAATTGAAAATAAGCACATGTTTATGGATTTTTTTATACTTAACATTGTGTTTACAATAGCTAATTAGGGACCTTCATATTGTGGTTATAGCACAATATAACCATATAGAATATGCCACATGCACAGAAATTACTAGGCAGCACTAGGTTGTGTGTAATTGATGGTTGGAATTACAGTCTCATCAGAAAAAATGTCCATGATATTTTAAATTTACATACACATTTGGCAAAAATGTATTAGGAGCTTGAAGATGATCTTAGTCCATAACAGACCCAATACATACTGATATACAAGATGTTAATAATCATTTCCCAATTTTGCTAGGTCAATCTTGGTGACAGATTTGGAGAAGTTATGGTGAGCAACTTGCGAAGCCGAGGTTGTGACCTGGCAGGGGCTCAAGCATGCCAGAGCACAGAAACACAGAGGCAAAGGTTAGTATGCAGTGTGGCAATGTGGCCAACAAATCTTACTGACATGTGTGATTATGTTGCATCCTTATATTTTTAAACTTGATAAAGACAAGCTCTACACTGAAACCTTCAAACTAAGATGCACAGCTACTTCTTTTAAATATTGATGTTGGTTGAATGCTTGTACACTGTGGATTTATTTATCAACTTTGCTTACACATCGAGGGCACCAGAAGTGTCTGATCATAAGGAAGTCACTTACTAAGCCTACCAAATCTCTCTAGTTCACCCCATCCATTGAATTTTCACAAAGAATAGTTGATATTTCTCTGACTGTTATCATCATTTTTAATGCAATGATGACAGGCTTTTCCCATGCCATACTGAACCATGCACCAAGTGTCACACACAGTCAGCAACTTGACTAAAGAATTAGAAGCATTGATAACAAACATTTGCCCACACACAAAGAGGCTTAAATTGTCTTTTTAGTCTACATTTGAGGGACTGTAACTCCTCTGTAATTACAGTCATGGTTAAACAAATAAATACCTGTTTATCTCATTATTATTATAATGTTATTAACAATAGTGATAGGACAGTACCTCTGTATATACGCACTCCTTAGTGTCAGTGGCTGAACTGAGATTTTTCCATCAAGAAAGATGGGGATTAATTTCTTGGTTTAAGATTATAACTGCTTTTGGAATGATAAGGAGAATAATGAAAAAATTAAGTAAACCAAAGGTTTATTGCTGATGAAATCAAGAGGAGTGTATACATATGAAACTCTGTATGTCCATTTTTTTTGGCACTTAATAATTATAAATAGATATAGTCTATTCTATTTATTTTTCTAGATTTCTTGAAGTTGGATGGGCTGGAGCAGACTCTTATGACATGATCAACATATGGGCACGACTCCCTCCTGAGGAAATAGCTCGTGTAATGCAGATTGAGTTGCTAGATGAACAGGAACTTCTTCAGCAACTGTTCACACATTATGCCATCACCACTGCCTGGACTGACCACCGATGGTCAGACATTCAGCTGTAGTTTTTACTAATAATTCACTATTCCTAAAAGATATTAGGAAAAAAGCTGTTATGGTAAAGGTGTAATATGTCAATAAGGTATCCAAATAAGCATAACCAGACTAGCTCTGAATATCCATGCTAGTAACACCAAGAAGTGATTTTAATTACAAAGTAGCTATGTAATTACTATTAATAGAAGTTCTGAGTAAGGACCAGGTCTTTTCCCACAAATATTATCATGTCATAAACCAAGCTTTAGACCTCTGAGGTTAGTCAGTAATCAAAAAGAAATCTGGGCATTATGGTGATAAAATTAGATTTAATAAGCTGAATTGTTTTTGACATTTAATCCTGTTACTGCTCAACTGGACTGGCAAGATGTGCATATATATATACCCTTTGTTATAAGATGAGAATAACTTTTATTGTATGATTAGGTTCATTACAGATGATTAGGAAATACTATCATGTGATTTCTAGACTGCTAGCATAGGATGTGAAAAATTATGATTAAGTTCAAGGACTATATGCATACCAGTTGATGTGTTGAGTAGTAGAATGGTTATTGAAAACTCAACAGAATATCTTATTCAGTTAGACTTCAAGATATACACTTCATTTAAGCTGCAGCTCTTTCTCTGACAGAGTTTCAGTATTAGTTGAA